TTCACCAGTTTATATCCAGTTGTTTATATCCAGTTGGAAATCCAGTTTAATCTTATGTCCACTTGCTGTCCACATATATGAAAATAGATTTTTCATAAAGAAATTCAGCTTAGCCCGGTATGATGGTACATGCCTGTAATCCTAGCACTTGGGAGACTAAGGCAGGAGGGTTGATTTTGAGGGTAGCCTGGCTATATAATGAGTTCTTGTATCAAAACAACAGCAACAATATCAAAAAAACAAAAAGAAATTAGCTTAGGGCTGGGGACGTAGCTCAGTGGTAGAGCACTTGCCTAGCATGCCCAAGGCCCTCGGTCTGATTTCTAGTACTGGAAAACAAAACTTAGAAATACATTCCTTTTTCTGAGTGTTTTCTTTGTGGCAGTTATTCCTAATTTTACAATGCAATACCGGGCCTATCTATTTTGCTTCACATTGGGTCTTACTAACACATGTCACTGTCATCCCACCTTTCTGCTTTTTGTTTTAGATTTAGAATTTTCCCTAAATAACTGCTCCAGAAACTCTAAAAGTTGCCTAATTAGTGATTACACTTTGCAAATGAAGAAGAGCATTTCCCAGCTAGTTGACTCAGTCAGTTAGAGCAGGATGCTAATAATTAGGCCGCAGTCACAGGTTTGAGTTGTATGGAGGCCAATTAGTCCACAGCTCAGGCGTCTCGCAAAGGACAGATGTAGTTGTGGTCCCAAGAAGGATGGGGGAAGTGGGGGGGTGTACACACAAATGCCTCAACAGACAGCCACCCCATGAGAAGGAAAACATTTTGCTACTGCGTCCATAACATCACACTGGGAGTGCTGCGTATTGTAAACAAAGAGGAAGAAGAAACGGAAGGAGAGGAAGGAGTGTGGGGGAGGGATGGAGGGAAAACCAACAAATAATACTAGACAAGCTCATGGGCATAAATAGAGGAAGAACAACAGAAGGAGGGAGCACCTCCAGTGTGGCGTGACCTTTAATCAGGGCTCTGGTTCTTAGCAGACTGTGAGGCAGCTCTGTCTTTACCTGCTCAGTGGATCTCACAATGCTGATACACTGCTTTAATTTGGGAAGCCTTTCTCTTGAGAGACATGTCTTTTCTTGCTCTAAGTCTAAAGTGCTCCCGTGTGTGGCATTCTCTGTGACAGATGTACTATAGCTATGCTTTAGCTGACTCCAAACCCATAGCTTCCCTGTGCCTGAGTGGTCTATTTGATGTCCAAGAGTGCGCGTTTCCTTTGAGAGCAGGTCTTTGCTGGAATTTCATCTCAGAAGGTAAGAAGGTGTAATCCTTTTGTTTAAAACAGCCCCTGTTAAATTCTACAACCCTAGTCCACCCAAGACAATTCTATCGGAAGGTCTAATCCATATTTGTTGGTGAACATAGACACCGTAGACCCAGCCTGAGGAAAGGCAGTCAGAGACTGAAGAGTCCTCTCTCTTCTGACCTTTCCCTCAAGACTGTTCCCTTTTCATAGATGGCCCCACTTCTATATCATTCGCTGTAAGCATAAGGAATAAAGATAAGGAATTTTGAAAATATCTGACCATCGCTAAGGATTTTCTGGCAAATCTGCCATCCACAGCTTTTACTTCTTATAGGAGTCAGAGCCTTCATTGCTAGATCAAACATGCGACTAGCAGACCAGCTCCATGCATGGCCATCTGTGATCATTCTGCATGCCTGCTTCTCACTGATGAAGCACTGCCATTCTCTGAATTCTAACCTTCCACCATCAGAACCCATTCTTGCAGGGAGGCAGAAACATCGCCACAAGCTATTTCTTTTGGAACATGTGCCACTTGTCTTCTACCCGGAGCCATCACCCATCCTGCCAGCACTGATGTCTGCTAAAGGGTGCTACTTGTCTAACTCTCTCTTGCCCATCCAAGACAAAGGAATTTATTTCCGTCTATAAAACAGCTTGTGTCCTCTTGTTGTCCTAATTAGAACAGAAAGAGCTAGGGTCTTGGCAAGAAGACTTTGCCCCTGTTCTTATAACAGTTCTTAAGTTGAAACCATGCAAAAGCTCATTTCTGTTTAAAGTCAGCTTCTAAAGTTTAAGGACATTTCCCATTTAGTACTTAATATTTGTTCTTTAGTATTTTGACTTGAGATGACAATCTAATTCTACTTACCAGAACTGAGAAAAGAATTTGAAGGTTGTTTGTTGTTGTTGTTTTGGTTTTTAGAATTGAACTTCCAAGTAGACTTGTGTTTTTTATTTCTTTATATTGAAGCACAAAAATTCATATCATTTTAGAGACTACCTATTCTACCTGAATCAGACTGTTCAGAGAAACCAATTATAGCATGCTCTGCTTCCATCTGGCTACAATAGGAAGAGTTCCTCTTCCAATAAGTTCTGCAAAGAAGTACTCTAAAACACATTAATGGCTAGGGAACAGTAGTCCAGGCACCTGAAGATTTGTAACGTTTGTCTTAGATTTCACACTAAGGTTTAATACACATATAAAAGATGAATTCTTTCACTTATTTTTTAAGGTGATCATCATTCTTTTTTATTGAATTTTTGTGAATTTCATGCAATATTATTATGATCATATTTGGATCCCCTCCCCTATCTGAAACCCCCCTTACTAACCCCTGCCCAATTTCATGTTTTCTCATATATATTGAACTCTATAGGTCATTTGTGTGTGTGTGTGTGTGTGTGTGTGTGTGTGTGTGTGTGTGTGTGTGTTGAGACCCATAGAGTCAAATATGTATCTCCAAATGTCCTTCAGTATGGCTTCATCCACTGGAACCTGGCTAACCTACCAAGAGTCTCACCTTTAAACAAGACTCCCAGCAGCATCGGTCGCCAATAGCTCCTCAGGTAGAGTTGGAGTTTCTTACCCAATTCCCCATGTCTATGCTGGAATTTTGTGTGGCTTGAGTTTATATGGAACTTGTGCATGCTGTCACCATTGCTGTGAGTTCATATGGGAAAATGGGAAAACTCTGTCTCCTTGTAGACATCCACCACCTCTGGCTCTTACAATCTTTCTGCCCCCCACCCCCAACCCCCTTCTGCAGTGATCCCTGAGCCTTGGGAGGTAGAAGTTTGATATCGGTGTCCTATCGGGATAAACAGTCTGTAGCCTCTTATTCTCTGCACGTTGGCCAGTTGTGGGTCTCTGTGTTAGTCACCATCTGCTGTGTAAGGAAGCTTCTCTATGAGAGCTGATCTATGGGTATAGCAATAAGTCATTAGAAATCAGTTTACTATTGTATCTATTTAGAAGAATGATAGTATTAGGCTCTCCCCTACGTCTGTGACCTGTCTAGCCTCGTGAAGGTTGTTTCTTATTTCACTGCCAATGTTTGGTTATTGTGCCTTTATTATGAATATGTCTCTTATTTTTCTCTTAGATGGCTTTTTGCCTTGGATTTCTTAATTACTCATAATTACCAACTCAGTAAAGACAAAACATGAACAACCTGACCTAGTAATCCTCACTCAACACAGTGCTGTAGCACAATAGTTACTGATAAATTAATTGGGCTTGTCGCCCTTTGAGTTATGTGAAAGGTCTTAAAATGCAAAGAGCAATGTAGTTTTGTGATAAAGGTGGTCATGTGTGTGTTCAATAGACACATTAAAGACAATCGAGTCCTTAAATCCCTGAGTAAAAAGAATAAAAGAATCATTATAGTAGCCTAATACCTTCCTTACTGAGGAGAACTGAGGATGAAAACACCCAGGTCTTCCCCTCCCAGGCCATCAGGAACTTTTAGATCCTGGGGCGTAGTGTTTATTTTTCTCAAGCAACAAATATCAGTAATTGAAATGCAGTGGTGTTTTAGTGGGCATCAAAATTTCCTTTTGTGGAACTTTTTTCAGTGCTAGGACTTGAACCTTGGGCCTCATGGTCTTTAGAAAAGCATGCTACCATTGAGTAATGTCTTCAGTCCTCTTTTCACTTCTTATTTTGAGATAGTATCTCCCAGACTGGCCTTGAACTCACTCTGTAGCGTAAGGTAGTAGTTTTGAACTTGTGATCCTTCTGCCTTAGCTGCCCAAGTAGTGGGGATGACAGGTCTGTGAGGGAGACCCAGCTTTGGCTTTCTTTTTCTTTTTCTGAGTGAGGATGTTATTATGTGTTACATGTCACCCAAATCCCTTCTGAACTGATTTTAAAACTTATAGTTCATTCTATTTTAATGTAGAAAAATACAAAAAGGACTAAAACATTGCCCATTATGCTATTATTAAAGGATTTCTTGTAACATTTATACATAAAAGTATATTTTCATGACTTGAGACTCCATTCAATAAGATAAAATAAAAAGCAGATGCTTCTTTGTTGAGATTTCCAATTCCAGTCTACCTATGGACAGCCCCAGACATGCCCTAGGAGGACCCCAGACATTACAATGAAAGAGTATTTGCCAAGAGAAATGCAGAAAACGGCAAGTGTGATGGTAACCACTGGGCACAGAGAAAGCAGCAGAACTCCAGTGTGCCCAAGAGTGATAGTTTAGAACATCAGAGACTGCTCTTAAGGGCAGATTTGACATTATCCTTGAGGTATAAAGAAAGGCTTCCCCCTGTTATTAGGATTGACTGCTAAGTGATGAAAGAGGAATCAGCAGTGTGGTTCTCTAAGACCATGGGTACTTGGGTAAAAGGTAACATTACAAGAGATATGGTCACCTGACCATATCAAAGTAAGCCAAAAGCATAAACTTGAATCATCTGTTTCCTTGAGCAATTTTATAACAGTTATATATATATATATATATATATATATATATATATGCACTTTTCTATCAGTTTTTAATAGCTTCCAGTGATCTCTAAAATATCCTCTTAGTAATGAGTTTTGATGGTATGTATCAGCCAGACTTCCAAGTTATGATGGGCATGTGTGACATTGGTCCCAGCAGCTTCATCCTCTCATTGTGGAGTGGTAACTGATCATGTGCTAGTATATTTGTGTTGGTCACTCACTAACAGAGGATATTTCACCTCTGGCAAACTTTCTTTCCTCAGGCCATGAAAACCACTACACCTTCCAAGGCTATGAAATCACCATGGGATTACAACTTTTTTATTTATGATGGCATCGTAGACAAGACAGCCCCAGACTTCTTGGCATTCAAGGCACACCATAGCTTAGCCTGGGGGAGTATCTTTTCTCTCCTGGAACATGTGGAGAAGTTTCTCAGGGACTATGCAATACCAGAAGTCAAAATAAAAGGACGGAGTTTAATGGCCCTCCTTCCAGAGTTTGAGCTCAAGAATAAAGTTACAAGGTCTGACCTTCTGTCAGTACTGGAGAACCCACTCCATATCCAGATGCTGCTAAACCTCCCCGGACAGAGGTACAAGGGCCGAGGTGGAAAGTCAGAGGCTGCCATCAAGATCCAAGCCACATGGAAATGTTATAAGGCCAGAAAATTCTTCCTCTCTTACCGCCAACAGAAGTGGGCCTCAGGTGTGATTGCCCTTGCATGGCTTTTACATTGCCACAAGACGCGACTGAAGAAGATCCTGAAGGAATCACGGCAGAGACACCTGGAGAATTTCCGCATCCGAGCCAAGGTGCACCAGGCTGCCAGCTGTTAAGGCAGACCTCTTTCTCTAAACATTTCTTGCTTGAACAACTGCAATAAATTGTCTCTTTATCTTCTCTTTTCCTCTCTGACCCTCCTCTGCAACCTCCCGCACCTACAACTTTCTTCCCTTTAAGATGCACAACTCTGTTTGTTTGAGCATCAAATCTTAGCCCTAATCAGGATCTGGCTTTTATGCCTGCAAAATCTGTTGCAATTTTTCTATAGAAGAAAATTCCCTTCATTTTGACGATGGTAGTTCTGTCGGAAAAATCAATGTTTTAACTGCATTACCTTTTTCTCCCTATATATACCTTCTGGCATTTTAATTTACTAGGAAAAAAAAAATCCTCTCTTGTCTACAGTGCTGTCACCACTTTGTCAGAAAGTATTTAAGTTTGCAGACAGCCTTTTAATTAGTGCTCACAATTTCATTTATGTTTGCTTTCTCTTTTTTTCATTCATATTCTGTTAATTAAGTGAGCTGCCTCTAATCTTCCCCTGCCAGTAGCATCATGTAGCCACCTAATTAAATTAATTGGGGAAGATGTTTTAAGTATGTAATTAAATCAATTAATATAATTTATGCCTGGCTTAACTGTACAGTGGAAAAACAGCTGAAGTTTGACTAGATGAATCCACTACAGCTTCCTGTCACTGATCAATGCTCTTCTTGATTTTTAGCATCTGGCAGCCAACTGGAATCGCATCAGGACCTCCAGGAGGACTATTATCCATATCCCATCATTAGGTATAACACTTTTGCCTGCAAATCTATCAGCAACCTCTATTACCCACCACATTATGGCTCCTTGATTGAGTTCAAGGAAGGCCCCTTGTTTTATTCAAATTGGTCTCGGCAGGAAAATGTTCTCGACATGATGAGAGTAATAACACAGGGCCCTCGCTCGAAACGGCGTTTAATTTGGGGATTAAGCAAATAAAGTCATTATGTGGGGGCTGCTATTCAGTGGAGAGGTGATTTGCTGTAATTCGCTTTCATCTGTATGAAATGAACTAAAAAGTTGTATTTTTCCCCCTGAAATAACAGATAATGTTTTCGATCTTCTTTAATGATAGAAGAACACGGGCTTGTGTGTGTTGTTGCTGTTACGCCACTAAGCCAGGATATTGCTTGTACACTGTTTTTAATCAAATGTGCAGTCAAAATGATAAGCTACATTCTCTGAAATTATTTAGTTCTAATTACGAGCAGATGGGATGCTTTATTTGCACCTAGGGCGCCTGAGCAAAAGGAAATGCTGTGTGAACAAGAATAATTAAGAAGTTGAATAGTGCTTTTTGTGCTTAAATAATCTGCAGTTTCATGTTAATTAGCACTAATGTAATTATTTAATTACATTTATGAATTGGGGAAGTTAAAAGCTGTTGTCTGAAACCCAGTGGTAAAATAGGTATGCCAAAATAGCATAGGAAAATTCAGAAATTTGCACTGGAAGTTTGTTTCAGGCTTAAGCTGCTGTCAAAATGTTTGGGGTTTGCTGACTTGTTTTGCTTTGCCTTACCTCTACTTAGTCTGTCGAATTTCCTGAATGAGGCCAGTTTTTCTATGCTGACTTGGTGGCATTTCGACAAATTGCAAAACTCACTGGATCTCAACATTACCTATTAGATCTTTGTTAAGCTAAAGCCTTCGAAGTAGAGCAATGGATCAAGTGATCTATTGTAATAAACTTCTGAATTATAACTTGTTGGTGCCAATGTGTGAGAATTCCTGTTTGTGTACTGGTGTGCAGTATAGAAACAACACATTTAAGAGTGATGTTAAAAGAAAAAATATTAAAATTATTGTTTAACTTAAACTAAGTTTTTTAAATTAGTAAAATATTAATAGTAACAAAGTAAGCAAACTCCTGAACTATAGAGCGTGTGCTTTGACTTGTAGGAAAGTTAAGAAAATACTTGAGTTGAAGAGCCTTTTAGTTTTGTTCTTCTTTACAGCTTCTGGAAGAAACTGGTCATTTCTTAGGATCTAAGTGAGCTATGACATATCTGAACTTCATTCTAACTTGTGCTTTTGTTTCAGCCAGAGTACTTTTGCACACAAAATTAGCCCACACACAGAAATTGCACTTGTAATTGATTACAACAAGAGAGGCTAATTGCAGACTCAATTAACTGACTTGGGTCCTTAGAATAAGGTACAAGAGCTTATGCTTCTGCAACTAATTGTAATGTGACCTGATATTATGTGGAGAATCTTGTTTTGCTTTCCCTGTTTTATTCAAAGCTAAAACCAGAAGCAGAGCCCCTACTTTGCAATGTTGGTAAGCACTAACGTGTCACAGACATAATTTCCACAAGCCTCTTCTTTCCTGCACTCCACTTTCAACCCTTTAAGAAATATTCCCAAGCCATCAAGACCTGCAGAGATGCCTGATACAAAATGGTCTCCAAAGAAGTTAAAAATGAAAAGTCATGGTACTGGAAACTGCGTAGGTCAAATAATTTCAAATGCAAGTTTCATAACATTTCAAAGGGGCTTTACAAATATAAATTGAGAGAATAACCTGATCACAAAAATTTGAATGTAAAGGAGTGTTTAAATTTTGATATCAAATTTGTTTTCTTTTACATCATATACACTTAGTATAATAAATTAATAATCAGTGTGAAGGGCTTCCACTTGCATTAGTTTTTGTTTGTAAACAATAGAAATACTCATTTTAAGGGAAAACTGATAAATATATATTTTTAAGAGATAAGAAGAAACTCAGATACTTTTCTCAAGATAACATTTAAAAGACCAATTGTATGCTTTCACCAGAGAGTGATACCTGTGCTTTGACCATGTAGAATGTGTTTCTGCAATCTGTGCTTTAAGTTTTATAAAATGACTTTTGAACATTCAATTCAGTTTAAATAACCGTAAACACTCTTCTCAGATCTACTTTACAGACAGAATTCTTAAGCTATACTTTCCCCCTTTTTAACAATATGAGGTGTCTTTTTCTTGTTTATCACTTTCCTGGTGATAGGCAAAGATTTCAGACAAATATAACGTGACTTCTTTATCTCATGGACCAGACATTTACCTCGATAATTCATAAATTTCACAGAAGTGAAACAATTTATTTCTCTAAGTGCACACACACACACACACATACACACACACACACACACAAACACACACACACACACAGCACCACCTCTACTATTCAATGTAATCATCTCGCTTCCAGAGCTGCGGTTCATTCACTTGTCAATACATCTGATAGGACTGTCAGGCTCAGGTGAGCACTTAGGCACATTGCAGGCTTGTCCTCTTTTTTCTGTTTCTTTGGGGGGATTTGTTGTAGCATCACCCTAGAAATAATTACACCATGCCACCAGCCAACTAGGGCTGCACTCGCTTATTTGAACCTTTAAAATGAGAGCTAAGAACTGAGAGCTGTGTAATATATTGCAGTTAGGCATTTGGTTATCTGCTCTTCCATGCTGCACAGAACAGTGATAATTGCATTCTCCAAACTACAATCGCAGAAAAGATGGCCTGTCAGTAACATTTTTTACTGTAAAATATTTCTAATGTACTTTTAAATTTATGATTTGAAAATATATGAGCATTAAGAAAACTACATATTACAGAATAAGCTACTTCAAAGAGGGAGTCATGAATTTGGTTGACTGTTACATATTTTGGATAGTATTCCAAGAAGTGACAAATATTTTTAGCTATTTTTAACCTGCAGGAGAGGTGGAAACTATTGACTAATTGTCCACAAAAACTGATTGGCCTTATAATTTTATAAGATAAAAATGTAGGCTGATCTCTTAATTGGATATTGCATATTTTCATCATTTTTATTAATGAAATATAATTATAACAAAATAGTCTGCCATGGTTTATGGCAGGAATAGAAAACTAGGGTCTATTTTAAGCAAAATCGATCAGTCAAAGGAGAAAGAACTGCCACAAGGGATCCTAATTTCTCTCGAAAAAAAACAGAGTTCTAAATAAAACCTGCTAACTAATTCTGCTAGCAGTTTCTTTGGCCAGGCTATTTCCTCCACTTTTAGCAGATCCCCTGTGCTTCTTTGCACATCACTTGGTGCTATCCTTAAATTTAGTGGCATCTAAAAAAATATATTGACATTAAGTGAGATGTGCCAAGTATTGAACTCTGAGGGTTCAGCAGAACTCTGGGACCACTGCCAGCCAACTAACTCTCAGCAAGGAGTTTCCCCTTTACTCCTCTTTTAGGGTGCCAATAGAAGACATATTGAAGCAGTTTCACGGTTTTTTTTTTTCTTTTCTTTTCTCCATGTAATTTCATTGCTAATTGGCCAATTGATTTAATGACTAAAAATAATGTACATGGTTTGACTTCATTTTTTCCCCTGTGCATTATTTCAGCAAATTATTCTTAACGTTAGCATAATTAAGGGTCTCCAAAATACGCCATGCCATTCAAATCATGGGCACTGCTATTGTGGAACCCATGGAAAACATTCCTCCACTGGCCTCCACTATCACAAAAGCCTGAAAGGAAAGATAGGAAGTGTTAGGTGTGCAACTGCACCAAGATAGACTGAACCAAGGATGCCCCAAAGGCTGATGGAAAGATTGCTTCCTACCTGTGCTCACTGAGCTTCCCCACCTAGAAGCTGAGAACAGGAGTTCATTCTATTGTGAGCAGGGCAGGGTGGAATACTGCAACCAAGGGTATAGGTGGAAGGTCAGTCTTTACTATGCCTCTGAGCACACTGGAACCTCTCCACTCCAATGTTAACAACTTAAAGTTTAGGTAGATGCTGTTCTTTATACTTTGGGGACAGGAAGTTGGAACTTTTCATCCAATCTGCATAGGGTCTGACATACATTTTAGCAGGGAGTATGGGATCCATAGATAAGCAATAGAGAGGCCATACTAGATCCTCAGGACAGACAAATGTACAGTCAAGATCTCCCAGAGAGATTTTCCCAGAAATACCCAGATCTTTTGAGATTGGTGATAAAAGACACTTAAGCATCCACATATTAGATCAGAGTTGGTCCAATGACTCAGTAATATGGAAATATCCAGTTTTTTCTTGAGTTGTCCAATGCTGTACCATAACCCACATTAAAGAGTCAAATGACACAAGCTCACAGACTTTTCATTGAGTGGGTTAATAATAGGATACACTTTAAGATGCATTTCATATAGTACATAAAAATCTAATCTTTGTAATTTTCACGATTTTCAAAAAAATACTAAAGAGTGCTCAGTGGTTCTCAAACATTTTTCTCTCAAAACTTCTTTATACTCAAAAATGATACTTGAAGACCCAGAAGAACACGAGTTTAAGTGAATTCTGCATATCTTCATTTGCTGCATTTACTCTAATCCCAGCAGTTGGAATGCTAAGGCGGGATGAGTGAGAGTTTGAGGCCAGCCTGGACTACAAAGCAAGACCCTATCTCTTGGGACAGTGGCAGGGATAAAGGAGGGAGAGAAGAAAGGAAGGAAACTAAAACAGAATTTTTAAATTATGAACTAATAAACCAGTTACCAATGTTAACCTGTATAAAAACAATAACTATTTTCCCAAACAAAAAACCTTTGGTGAGAAGAATGATATTGTTTGACAAGCTTGCAAGCCTTTCTAGAACATAGCTAGATTCTCACGTCTCTATATTTAGCCTGTTACATGTGTTGTTTTGTTGAAGCATATAAGGAAAATCCAAACCTACAGAAATAAGTATTTGGGAAAGGGAAGAATATTTTATATATTTTTTAACCTTTT